TATATTCTATATATATATATATATATATATATATATATATATATATATATATATATATATAAAATATATATATAATAAATATAAATATATATATAAAATATATTCTATATATTATAGTCAATTATATAATTCTATCTGGAATTTTGTACGCGATGCGTGTAGGAACTAACTTCGTTTCCTTCACAGTTCTCTCCAAACGAACCTCCTCGAGCTGAATTTCGCCCTGAGCTTGATCAGACTTCTCCGCTGCTCCCTTCTCTGCTAGCTCGACGCTGTTGGTATCGAACACTTAGTCGATTCACATTTCATAAGCTACAGCGGCGAAAACTGGCATCCCCGAATTTACGAATAAAATGACAACGGAAACTTGGAAAAGTTCAACGAACGAACTAACTTGTTCTTCAGGTCGCAGCCAGGAGGACACTTGGAATTCGTGCAGTCTTTCAGTTTCCTGTTGGTCGTCGTTCTCTTACCCTGTCGAGCACGAAACATCGCGTGATCATAAATCAAATCGCGGGAATCTTTGTTAATTTAATCTCGATTTGAAAATACCGAACGAAACTCCTGAACAGTTTGCATCGGCAAAGCGACGATCTTCGCCCTGGGGATTCTGCTGCTTTTCACCGGTGGCACAGGCGACGTCGTAGCATTTTTGCATTCCAGTGGCTCCTCGTTTTCCTTCGCCTTCTCGTCGTCCTCGACGTTCTCGGCCGCGTGATCCGCGTTACCTTTGCCGATCACCTCGATCGTCGTGATCTTGTACGACAAATTCTGCGTTTCCGTCGTTTGCTGTAAATCACAGAACCATGCGCATTCGGTGAGGTTAGAACGCTGAGGTTACATACTGAGGTTAGAATCGGCGGACGATTCGAACCTTCAAAAAATTGGTCAGGTCCTCCACGTCGACGACCCCGTTACCGACGTCGTTCCCCTTCTCGTCTTTCTCCTCGTCCGAAGTCCCGGACGCTGTCGACTCTTTCACGGAATCGACGGTTTTGTTCGCCGCCGGTTTCGCCGCATTGTTTCTCGCTCGCCTCGTCGCCCCCGGTGCCTGATATCTTTTCTGAAAATTCTTCCCTGACGTAAATCGGCCGCGAACGTTGCGAACCTTAACGGCCCGTTTTCCAAGCGATGCCCCACTAACCATCGGGCAGCGGCCGTTCTTCCTCGCGTTGAGGAAATTCGGCACGTCCGGTTGGCTGACGGCGGCGTCGTAATCGTACGTGATAGCTGGCATCCTTCTCTCGTCGGTTTTCACGGCGAAACGCGGCGTGGCCAGCTTCTTCGCTGTCGACGAGTCGTGGATCCCACGTTGCGATCTCGCGCTCATCGTCTTCTCGACATTGCGACGATACCGGCTGAGAAAAACATGGGGATTTCAATGAATTACAGTCGTCAGTTTCCCTTGTCGTTGTTTATTATAAGCTTTTGACGGACGTTAGTCGGCTTATGTCGCCGTTCCGCGTTACTTAACGCGTTCAGCGGACGCCATTTTGAATTTGAACGGCTGCGTACGACGCAGTAATTGTTACATGGTTCTCTGTTGATAAAGTTGAAGAGAACTCCGTGGCTAGTTAAGAAGGAGAACTTATCAATAATTATATTACGGGATTTGACGATTCTATTTTGCTATTATACAGAGTGTCCCAAAAATGTCTCGCAATACGGAAATGGCGGGTTCCTCGCATCATTTGAAGCAACTTCTTCCTTTAAAAAAATTCTCTCCGAGGCACCGTTAACGAGTTATTAACTAATGCATAGGAAGAGCTACGAAATAGAGAAACTTGGAAGACAGTAGCAGCATTTACTTAGGATTGTCGAAGTCATTCTAGTTAATTGGAAGGAGCATACACAATTGGATAACCGTTAAGACGCTTCGTGCTGTCAGGTCTCATATATTTTAGATAACTTTCACTTTCAACGCTCGTTAGAGATGCGTTATAGCCTGTCACGAGCGTAAACGTTTCACATAATCCACGTCAGGGAATACGGATCGTTTCGAGCTTGCAGAACAGACGTAACTCGCGAGAATTGTATCGAATTAGAATATACAGGGTATCCCAAAAATGTTCCTCCGATCATTTGAAGCAACTTCTTCCTTTACAAAAATTTTCTCCGAGGCACCGTTAACGAGTTATTAACGAAAAACGGTGACCAATAAGAATCGAGTACGGCTGACGCGAGGCGGCCCAGTCAACCAGCGCACGATGCCCAGTACCGCTCATTGGCTCGGCCGCCTCGCGCCAGCTGAGCTGGGATTCGACCGCCTCGACCGCTGGCGCCGTTGGCTCGGCTGGCTCGCGCCAGCTGAGCTCACCTCTCATTGGTCACTGTTTTTCGTTAATAACTCGTTAATGGTGCCTCGGAGAAAACTTTTGTAAAGGAAAAAGTTGTTTCAAATGACTGAGGAACTCGCCACTTTCGGATTGCGAGACATTTTTGGGACACCCTGCAGAATGTTAACGAAGTCACAAAATCAACGAGCCGATTTCCAACGCTAATATTTCATCGAAGACAAATGGAGTTTGCGTCTCGTAGAGTTTCGCGACGGTAGCGCACATATTGGCCGGATTAAAATAGCCTCGATTAGCCCTGAAAACCGGTCGGCTAGCAACGATGAGATACAGGTCTGAATATGAAAACGTACACGGAAGCGATCGAGCCGCGCGATCCCGGTTCCAGGCACTTTTTCGCGTGTCCGCGTGGTCTGAACTTGCTCCAGAGTTTTAGGACCGCGTTCGTGGACCTGTTCTCGATCTTCGCCAAGGTCGGGCTCCGTTGATCGACAGAGGTTACGGGCTTGGTCGCCTCACCGGTCCATTCCGACTTCGGTTTCCGGCGGAAGTGCGACTGAAAACGGAAATGCGGTTTCCTCGAGTTCGCCAGTATTCCTGGTGTTGGTCTTTACATCTTACAGACTAACGCGCCGGACATATTTCCTCTCCGATCGTTTCGCTTTCACGGTATTCTGGTTAAACAGAAGACTTTTCGCCGGATCCAGCAGTGCCATCTCGATCGCCAGCGTTGCTCGCGAACCTGGCTACGGATGCTCAAATAAGCAAATCTACACTGCGATACAAGGTTCAGATTTTATACAGGGTGTCTTAGACTTCTCCGTATACATATATTGTATAATAATATTATTTTCTAAAAGCGAATACCGCAAGGAGTGAATAGACATTGTACGAGAGTTTAGATTTAAGAATTTATTTGAAAGTTGTAATAATAAATTGATTAATTTCGCTGTTGGCACCAAGAACCGAGACGACGTTTGATTTTCTGCTTGAAAAATGTCTGGCTGAAAAGCTTGGGAATTTTCAGAAATATGTGTTGTATATTTGGCTGGCTATGTATTGAAAAAGTTTACACAAGCTTTATTCCTGGGACCAATTTCTTCTCCTCTAACTTATTTCGCTTGGTACATGAAATAGAAATGTACTTCGTTATGCAAGCATTATGCATATCTAAATTATTTCCGTCTTGTAATCGCTATAGTTTATCGTAACGAAGGAAACAATGCCGATATCACCGCATAATACTGTTCGCTATCTAAGACGTTATTATCTCAACAGCGGCCTGTGCAGAAGAATACGGATCACGAATCTTGATATCTTTTCGTACGCTAAAAACATCAACGCGGCTGTCAGAACCGTTTGAAGTAATTTAGCTTCCATTCCTTTGTACAGTCCCGCCATTCCTTGTTTCCTGAAGAAAGAAAAATAATAAAAGTTTATTAATCCCGGAGAAACCATCTTATGGTAAAAAATCATTTATCAAAGAATAAAAATGTTATTCTTGTTGAATTCAAAGTGTTCTTTGTCCTTGAACATTCTCATCCATTTTGAGAGGAATAGAGAACCAAATGATATTAGTATTTTTTTCAGTATTTAATTCAGTATTTTCATTTTTTTTTTCATTGTCGCATAAAGATATTATTACACCAATTTAAAATTGTATTTTATAGTTTAATTATTATAACGAATGATAAAGATGTTAAATACTTACTTTAATATGTACAAAAGTATCTGCAATGTGCCGGCATCAGGTGGAAGATTTGGATACTTGTGACCTTGCTGAAAATGGAAAATATAGCTGTACTTGGATCTCTTTTATCAGACTAAGGGCGTAGAAATGTTCAGAGGAATTTTCTGCATCCTATAACAGACTATTTATTGTTGCAACTATACAGCACGGATGATTATTGCCGCTCTTAACATAACGTGGGATGTAAAATGCGGCAGGAATCAATTGTTTTTGAGGTGTCAGTCACGTCTCTTGCGGCGAAATCAAGAAGCTCCGTTCAGGATCCGTACAATGTCATTTTATGGTAGTGGCAAAACGCTCAAACTGTTGACCAAATTACCAACATTCGCTTTCGTCCAACAGTTTGAGCGTTTTGCCACTACTCCGATACGGACTTCGAACGGAGCTTCAGTTTTTCTCCGCAAGAGGCGCCACTTGTCGCAAGTGGCGCTGATTTTAAATTCTCGGGAGCAGACGAATTGTACAATTCAGACGCGGCAGAGTCTCCTACGTATTTTCGTACCCCCGGAAAATCTTTCTGACTCGAAGAAGCTCGGCAAATTTCATGTAATTCTTCTTTCGTTCAAGGTTGTTTGCTTCGAACCATTGTCCCCGTTTGATCTCGATTCTCTGACTTACCCTGAGCTTCGTTTGCACCAGCTGCAACGGGTAAGTGAGCGCAGTGGCAACTGCTTTGGCAACGGCACCGATGGCAAAGAACACCCAAGCAGGCGGCTGCGAGCCTTGCATGGTAGCGGTGACCCTCCTCTTGATGCTCTCGTAGGTCATAAACTGTATAGCAGGGTTTATCACGAGCATCAGGCTGGGCAAAGTTCCCGCCCAGAGGTTTCCAAGGCCTTCGTATTTCCATATGTGAAGGAGACCATCTGAAGCACAACGCGAAGTCTGAACAAACACTCTAAGTCACTTCAGCACTGACGTTCGTCGTCGGCATAGAATATCTACAGTCTTCGAGTTGGTATACTAATTGCAAGTGTACCTTCAGTTATAGCAATATTATGCAACGCTACTTGGACATTAGCCTGGAGTTCTTTAAACGATGATTGATCGTTACGAGACGTCACGCGTTCAACGAAATGCTGATTTATACAAATTCTACGTGGCTAATGGACCACGCGCGTTCCATTTTTGGGGTGAGAAACGAATGGACAACGAGATTTACAGAGGATACGGATGTTAGAATAGTTCGACCGGTTAAATTTTCTTAGACGCTCAGCAGGTCCAAAGTCACGATATTCAAATCGATGTAACATCGTGCAAAGAAGGGAATCCGAAACGTTTTCGCAGTTCGTTCGGCACACGGAACGAAGTTTAAACGACGACCGGTCATTTACATAATGATTACGGCCTGCAAACATTATGATGTAACTGCGATTAGTGTTTTATAAGCTAGACACTTCGAAGTTTACCGAGCAACGTGCTGTATTCGTTGTTGTTCCTCTCCGGGTCCATGCCGACACCCCTCATCTTCAGCCTTGTGTTCACCACCCACAATGGCGTCGTTGTGATGACGTTGATCACACCTGAGACAATGAAATCGTAAAGATCGTATATCGCTAATTCTGCGCTAAATTTAATTATTGGAAGACTGTGTTTTCGTACCAATTATTGGGTTGTGTAATAAGCTCGCCTGTGTTTTCTTGGAAGAAAATATAGTACCGTGCAGTCGTCGAAGGACGGACTTACTATATATCTACCCTGTCTTAAAGTAGACACTTCGAGCTTTCATTTAAGCTAAATTACGTAGAAATAACTCGACGGGAACGTATCTTAAAATGTATCCGAACTTTTTCATTTAAATCCTGTAAACCCTATGACGTCAGAGGTTGATTCCTTTTAATCTATCAAAATGATGTCAACATTCTATCGCAATCTAATCTATCCTATCTTAAAATAGACACTTCCAGCTTTCATATCAGTTGAATTGCACAGAAATAGCTCTACGGGAACGTACCTTAAAATGTATCATGTATTTTTCTTTTAAATTCTGTAAACCACATGACGTCAGAGGTCGATTCCTTTTAATCTATCAAAATGATGTCAACATTCTATTGCAATCTAATCTATCCTATCTGAAAATAAACACTTCCAGCTTTTTCATTTCAGCCGAGTTGCATAGAAATAGTTCTACGGGAACGTATCTTAAAATATATCCGAACTTTTTCTTTTAAATCCTGTAAACCTCGTCGACGTCAGAGGTCGATACCTTTTAATCTATCAAAATGATCTCGTCATTCTATTGCAATCTAATCTACCCTATCTTAAAGCAGATACTTCCAGCTTTCATTCAAGCTAAGTTACATAATAATAGCCGCACGAGAACACATCTTAAAATTCATCCAAACTGTCGTTTCGTGTTCGTGAAATTTTCCTTTTTTCTCCTAGGTGTCAGAGGTCAGCGAACGGATTTACTACACAACCCAATGTTACGATCGTCAATAGTACCAGCGATGGATGCGACCAGCAGGTCGTTCCCAGCCGACTGGTTTCTCTTGCTCCTAAGCATCTTCAGCCCGTGGAATGTGTAGAAGTAAACAAAGTTGCTGGCGCAGAGGCTCTGGAGTACCGGCACCATTCCTCTGTACAGCGTGTACCTTGAACCGAACATTTCAACGACGAAACTGAGAAAAATCCCGAGCGAACAGAATTTTTTTTCGACGTCTATTGCGCAACGCCGAGATGCTACAAAGAATCGTCGGCTGAGATTTGCCCGATGCAAACTCGGCTGCGCAAACATTTAATTCGAGCGTGGGGCAACTATTGTTTCAGCAATTATCGTATTCGGGCTTGTTTGATTCACGTGTGTGCTTTGTAAAATTATACGTACGGTCCCTCCTTCATCACGAGTTCCCGGATCGTCGCTAGGGTGTTCTTCGACTCTCGACCTTCTTCCACTATCAACAAGAAAAATAAAATAATAATAATAAACGAGAGATCATCGTACATGGAAGCTACAGTAATGTCTCCCTTACTGACGCTCAGATTGTCCACTGAAATGGATAATTTGGCAAGAGGAGATACGATTATTCGAGCCTTGTGGCTCGTTTTTATGATTGTGGACAATTTATAACTATAAAAATAGATCACAAGGCTCGAATAATCGTATCTCCTCTACCCAAATTGTCCATTTTTGTGCGCGATCTGAGCGCGAATTAGGGAGAAATCGCTGTACAGTAATGTCTCCCTTACTGACGCTCAGATTGTCCACTAAAATGGATAATTTAGGAAGAGGAGATACGAATATTCGAGCCTTGTGGCTCGTTTTTATGATTGTGGACAATTTATAACTACAAAAATAAACTGCAAGGCTCGAATAATCGTATCTGCTCTTCCCAAATTGTCCATTTTTGTGCGCAATCTGGGCGTCAATTAGACAGACATTACTGTATTGGCTATAAAATTGGAAAATCGAATGATATCGAGAGACTCACGTTGTAGACGACTTCTTACCGTGTCCAGAGGAAAGAATGTCGCCATGGCGACCACGCTGCCCTGCAAAACATTTGTAAGTGGCACTTGCGTCGAAAAGCTCGGCGCCATGCCCGTTAACCTTTGGACGACAGATATTTTTCAGCATTTATAGCAGCCACGACTAGATCCGTTCAAATCTGAACGATTCATTTTCACTTGTATATCGTTAAAACCTCTTTGCCGAGGCCAAAGATCATCCTTTTATTAGTTTCGATATTAACCCATAGCGCTCCGTTGGCTCCGCTACAGAGACATTTGTCATTTGTTCAGTAACTCCGAAGGCTCCGCTGCGGAGCCAAATGTTTTTAGCACACGTTATCGGCGGCGTTAGCAATTGTTATCTGTAAATAACGTAGTAAGTCTGTACCATTACGATTGAACCGTTTGTTGACCTTTCCTATAGGTAGCAACATGGAGAAAAATAAATATTACGATGAGAATTTAGAGCCGAGTGATACCGAAAACGTATTTGATTTTGAAGAGTTAAAAGACATTGTGGAAGACAATGTTGGTTATGATTCTGACGCGCTTCGAGTGGTAGTAGCGAAATTATACTACCAAAGAGACGAAGAATGAGAATTATTGAAAGCGAAAGCGAAGATTCGTTACAAGACTTAGACGAATGGCGCGATGTTATGGAAGAATTACATATTCCAGATAGAATACCTTTTAGTGTATTGCCGCAGGTCATTGGACAACAAGTTCCTACGAACATTGAACGGCCGATACAATATTTTGAATTATTTTTCACGGACGAATCGGTAAATGAAATTATAAAGGAAACCAACAATTACGCAGAAAATGTTCTAAACTCGAAAGAAATGTCTAGTAACTCTATTTGGCAAAGCGAATACTGCGACACTTGTCCAAATAAACCCAGAATGCACATGGGAGATTGTTACCAAAGATATCGCACCATAGTGAATTACAAAATTTAAAATTTATCTTTTATTTACAATAGGAAAATGTATATTTATAAAATAAATAAAATCAAATGCATTCACAAGGACGTGTAATCTTTTCCGCTCGAAATAAGACTTCCTTTATCTCAGACACTCCGTCCCAAAAATGTGCCGGAGTTGCTGGTAGGCAGTACTCGAGAAACGCGCGGAGCGCTAAGGGTTAATAGTTGATAGTTACACGTGACTGCCACAACATTATAATTGAAATGGAATGTTTCTAACTCCGGGTCCAAACGGACCCGGCGCTCGTCATCCGTGGGTTAATTATGATCGTACTTACGGCTGCGCCGGAAATCGCGTGCACCAGGGTCTCGTAGGTGAACAGACCGCCATTCCGTCCACCGCCTCCCATTTTGCCCTGATCAGTGCGAACCGGAAACGCAGAATGATTGCTCGATCGGGTAATCAGTCGGCGTTCATGTCACGCCGATATTGATAAACGTTTCTTTTTTTATCTGTAAACATCACGTGTTCGACGATTAGTGAGGTGACACGGTATAATATCGTTATTAGCAATTAAACCTTGGACCCGATCAAGGTCTTGTCGCAGCTCCCCGTTGTAACGACGTTTACTTCATACTCTTACCGGTTTTTATTGACAGAAATTTATTAGCTCGAAGAATCGTCCGAGTTTCGTGGCGAGCAATTAATTGCGTTGAATTTCGGTCGATTCTACGGCTCGTGTTTCCGTTATTCAATTATCTGACACGGTCGAGGTCTTATTTTATTTTCAATTAAAAATTTTTTTAAAAATCGAATCTTTTAGTGCATGAAATTTATACCTTCGGCTATAAATATTATTAAAATGTGCATTGACGTATATATGTATCTGCAGTATACATAAATGCAGTTTACAATTTATTCGATTTATATATTATTTATATATTAAAACGAATCGATGGTAGATCGCGCGAAAATTTATAGCAAATTCGTTTTTAGAGTTCGAGAGCGAGGTGAGACCGTTTTTAATAAAGAAGTTAGAAAGCAATTTCGACGTTGGAAAACTTTTAGCGTAGATCATAAAGGAACTGGTTTTAATTACTTCATCCACGCGAGGTTTCAATTCATCTCGATCTTATCTAGATGCTGGCAACACTGTCGCTTCGTTCACTTCGAGTATAATCGAATTATTGGAGTCGATAGTAACGATGCACACCGCGAACCTGTTACGAAAGTCTAAAACCGTTTTATTTGCCGCAGTGCTATTCATTCACGAAGGAAATAATAATAAAAATTCTCAATTTTACCGATTTTCTATTTCTGACTCGCTGCTAGCTTGAATCTCAAAGTTCAAACCGGCAAATCAACAATATCTAAATTAATAAATTAAATTCAATTCTCGTGACAATTTCACCGCTAAACATTATTATTATATCGATAGTTTTTTTTATGGAAAACAGTCAAATACTTATTGCTAAACATACAACATTATTATCGGACGGCGAACGTTTACTTAAATCAACAATCGCACTCACCAATTTACAACCAATTTACAATATAACTTAAACGGTTTAAGTTTCTAGTAGACACGGAACAGTCGTTAAAACGTCTATTAATAGGCAAATTATGAAAATACTTTCACTAAATACCGACGATAAAATTTCAATTTACAGTAACGTCTCCCTAATTGACGCCGAAATTGTGCTGAAGAATGGACAATTTGGGAAGAGGAGATACGATTATTCGAGCCTTGAAGCACGTTTTTATAATTGTTGACAATCAATAACCATAAAAAAAACGAGTCACAAGGCTCGAATAATCGTATCTCCTCTTTCCAAATTGTCCAATCGAAGGGAATTTTCGTGCACAATCTGAGCGTCAGTTAGGGAGACATTACTGCAATTGCCGCTACATGCGTCGCAAAATCGTTTATATTTGGCACAGGCTCGAACGGTCTCCAAATACGCAGAGGTCGAGTTTAGTACCAAAAACGAAGAACACAGTTTACAATTTAGAAAAACTAAATTCTTACATCAACAAAATTTAGATTTGAGAAATTGTTAAAAGCATAATTGTTGTATAAATCACAAGACTCAATTTCACACGCGTAAAATGCGCTCTGTCATATATAAAATATATGACTATATATGACTATATGACTATAAAATATAACTATAAAAAAGAAACGAAGAACACAGTTTGCAATTTAGAAAAACAGTTCAACCCTTTGCACTCGAGTGGTGACTCTGAGGCACCGCTAAAAAAATCTTTATGTCACATTTCAAAATAATTCTTACATCAACAAAATTTAGATTTGAGAAATTGTTAAAAGCATAATTGTTGTATAAGTCACAAGACTCAATTTCACACGCGTAAAATGCGCTCTGTCATATGTAAAATATATGACTATATATGACTATATGACTATAAAATATGACTATAAAATGTTGACTAATACATTAAAATACATGACTATAAAATATATGACATTTATTTTATAGTCATGTATTTTAATGTATTAGTCAACATTTTGTAGACATTATATACAGACTATAAAATATATGACTATATCTATGACAATATATTCCGTGTGGACACTTTCATCATCGCGAATTCTTTTCCCATCGAGCTATATATCCGTCACATTTTATCACCGCGTCTAATGCTATTGACATACGCGCGTTCATAAAAGAATTATAATTCATAAAAGAATTAAACGGCAAGCATCGTCCAATAATATCACAGATTCGCGATCACCGTCTACTAAAACCCTCGAGCAGTGTTTACACAACATCGAACGACCCGCGAACTCTCGCCAACAATTCTCCGATAAACAGGCAGAAAGAGTACAAGTCGTATGTTGACCTAAATAGTGCAAGCCGTCGCCGTGAAAAAGCTGCGGCGTTCCCGAGTCTCGAGTGCGATGTTTATTTTGCCGAGCGTAGCAGAGCAAAACATTGTCCGTCCGTCGACTTCTACGTCGCAAAATCTCTGGCACTCGATTATACACGTGTTTCTTCCGCACGCTTCGTACGGTCACGCAACCGATAAGACGGGAAACTAATATAAGAAATAATTCCGACTTGTGTGCTCTCTTCTGCTTGGCCACCGGTGAATCAGTTCGCACGCCGGCGTACATATTCTGCTGTGCTACGTACGCGGTCTGGCCACTGGTCTGTTAAATGGTATCAGCACCGCACCGGACAGTCCGGTAGGATTATCTCGCGCACCGTAGACCGAGTCCCATGCTAACTGTCCGCCGGTAGATCAGCAGCGAGGCACAATTACCGCGAGTGCAAGCGATTCGCTGCTTCGTCGCGCGATCGCGTGCTGACTCGACGAGCGGCGCGCTGACACTGTCGAGGAAAAATTCCGCAATTTCGTCAGCGATCGGAAAGAGAGAGAGAGAGAGAGAGAGAGAGAGAATGAGAGAGTAGAGCCCACGTGCCACGATGATCGCCTAACGCTGTTATGGGAGCGCCAGCGCGGCCTTCGCGGGTCGTGCACAGTGGATCCGTGTTTTTAATTTTTTTTTATCACGCACACGCCGCCATTCGGCTAGACTGCTGGGCTACGCCGAGCGGAACAATGAGCCTCTCCGCGAATCATCGTACTACAGGCGTGCCAGATGAAGTGACTTCGGCCATGACGCAACGCGCACCAACACGCTTGCGCGCCGTTCCTACGCGAGTTCTTGCGCTTGTGCGGCCCGATGAGGTCGATGCGGCCTAGGCTCGCGTGTTCCGGCTCCGAGCACGCGCGTCTTCTTCCCGCTTAGGATACACTCGCCGCGGGAAGTATGTTAACACTAGATCGCGCGCGCCCAAGGAAGTCATTTTGACTGCTTTTTAATTTCAATTGGAAAAAGAAATTATGTATATAATGATACAATTTCTTAGAATTTTTTGACTTTTCGTACAACATGTAAATGCGTTTATTAATAGTTGTAGTTACCTCCCCACCCCCTCCTTCATTTCTGGTATATATATGTGTTATACTTATATTGCTCAAAAGCAGTCGTTTTGACTGCTTGGGAAATTTTAAATAATTGAATGACTCTTATCATTGAATTGAATAAATTTCTTATATGACCAGTTCGCCTCTGTATTGAAATAACATTTTTCATTTTCTTCGATTACCGTTGCATGATAACGTACAAGTACATGATAAATTGTCGATTTGGACGTGTAATAGATAAGTTGCAGTTGCTCAATAAACTGAAGTAGTACTTGTTATTCGTATCTTAAATTTTTGTTGTTGTTAATATTTACTAATAACCTGTTATATAACTGTAAATAATATACAAAGATATTAAAAATTAATTTTAAACATTTTTTTACACATTAGTTATTCTTTCACTTTTATTATTCTTATTATTATTCTTTATTATTATATAATATATTATTATTCTTCATTATTCTTATTTCTCTATTATTCTTTATTATTCTTTATTATTATTATTCTTATTCTCTATAGTTATTCCTTCTTTTTATTCTTGACTGCTTTTGGGCAATATAGGTATATACTAAGTTTCAGTCTTTCTAGTGTTAATACTTAACCGTTTGACTGTTGAGGAGCTCTATCGCGCTCTTCGCATTTTTGGCACAACATAAGAAGAGCGCGATAGCGCCCCTGTTTTTTTTATGCCAAGACTGCGGAGAGCGTAATAACGCTGCTCTGAATCACTAGAATTTGTGCTTATTACCAATTTTATTCGCAAAATTAATTGAAACAAATTTATGTAAGTAAGTGGTATTTTTTAATTTTTGTTGTTGCAAAGCGATACAAGTGAGTTTATTGTATGAAAAGTGTTTTACATATTTTCCCATACACGCGCAATCAGTGCCGCAGTTTTGGCATATGTCCGAAAGAATACGTCAGCAGCCAAACGGTTAACACAGACGGGTTGTTTTTTTTTCTTGCCTTTCTCGGCTTCTGGGCATTTTTTTAAGACAATTGAATGAACATGTATGCGCGGTTTACAAAGCGTTACGGTTTTATTAGATCAATACTATTTCTGATAAAGTTTTACGCAGTTGTTTATTTATATTTCTAGGGTTAATAAAATATCAATAAAATATTGATAAAGTATTAATAAAAATTCAAGCAAAGACGTAACTCTACGCGGCTCGTCCTAGAAAGTCAGTTTGGAAAAATGTAAATTTACGTGACCGTTTAGTGTTAACAGCTTTTCGAACATAATAACTTTTTTCAAATTCGTCCGAGTCACTGCAATAGTTTTTTAGACGATTGAAGAACTAGGCTGCCAGACAATAACTATAATACCTTTTTCTAATTTTGTTATAACTTGGAATCGTCACCGCTTAAAATTGTTATACAACGTTACAAAATAATCTTAACATGATCAAATTACCGAGATCTACGGAACGCATTTTTTTTTCAAATTTTCGTTACAGGCTCAGATAAAATAGTAAATGAAACGTGAGTTTTTATTTATTTATTATAGTTGTTGTCTAGTAGACCAGTCCCTCTGTTATCTAAATAAAATTCAATTCATTTGGACCAATTTGAAAAAAGTCGTTCCGTTTAAAATGCTGCCAGCATACTTCCCGCGGCGAGTGTACCTAGCCGCTTTCGACTTTGGAACACGCATTTACCTCTGTATCTGCTCGCCTTCCTTACCGGCGCGGTCTCGGTTCTACTGCTCAGCGTTCAGCCAACAGGGTTACGGCTTCGTTGTTGCGAGTTTGACGTTGTTGGAGAACTACTCTGTAGATTTTTGGCGTGTTAGAGGACATCGAGACGAAGCGGGATTTCTGGGACGGAAGAGGATCTTTCAAGCTTCCCGGGATAGACGATGATCGCGGTGATCATGGAAATTACCAAGATTACGAAAATCCAAGTCACAAAGATTCATACTGTTTGGACAGTCGGAGCTTAAAAAGTTCAGGAGCTTCGCGAGATTATTTGAGATTATTTTTCTTTCTTTTCCTTCCTCCTTTTTTCTCTTTCTTTGTACTTGTTTGCTTATTTATTACTTCCTTTCTCTCTCTCTCTCTCTCCCTCTCCTCGCTCTCTCTCTCGCTCTCTTTCTCTCCCTCTCTCTCGCTCTCTCTCGCTCTCTCTCTCGCTCTCTTTCTCGCTCTCTCTCTCGCTCTCTCGCTCTCTTGCTCTCTCTATTCCTCTCCTCGCTCTCTCGCTCTCTCTATTCCTCTCCTCGCTCTCTCTCGCTCTCTCTCTCTTGCTCTCTCTCGCTCTCTCGCTCTCTCGCTCTCTCGCTCTCTCGCTCTCTCTCTGTCTCTCTCTAATTGTTAGTACCTTATCCGCAACAAAGAATTTTTTTACCCGTGTACTTGGATAAATTATTGTTACATTATTATTAAAATGCTAATGAAATCTCCGGAAGTCCGCGAGCAGCGCGGATAATAAGAATCGTGATATGCATAATCAAACTGTTCTACATAAATTTCCATTTCCATACTTAGCTGTCCCGGAATTAAACTAATGGAAACATTTCTTTCGCACGCTAAAAGTGTCCTCGCGGAAACAATACGTACAGATTGGCTTTCATGAATACAGGGTGGCCCGCTTAAACAAGACCACTTAGACATCTCCACCAATTATGGGAGCGCAAAAAGTATTTTCTATGCCATTCGAATGATTCGATGAAATGAAAAGAACCATTATATTGCGAAAAATATTTACTTTCTAAGATCATTTTTTTCCGAAGTTTGGTCTTCGCGCGATTGTATAATTTTCTTTATCGCATCGCGTATCAGATGTAAAAGTGACCTTTGTTTTACTAAATTTCTGTGACGTCTATCCTGTTAAGTTACGAAGTCAAAGGTTACTTCAATGTCACGTGATGTACATATCTGAACTTATTTTTACATCAGCCACACGATGCGATAAAAAAAATTATACAACTGCACGTAAAAAAAAAGAATATCGATGACCTTGTAAACTGCGAAAGAGAAATGACCATAGAGAAAAAATATTTTTTAGAATAAAAATATTAAGAATTAAATTATTTTCTCTAAAAAATAGTTTTTAGAGGAAAAATATTTTTCGTAACATAATTCTTCTTCTTCGAACCGTTCGAATAGCGTAGAAAATATTTTTTTCGTGCTCCCATAATTGAAGGAGATATTTAGGTGGCCTTGTTTACACGAACCACCCTGTATACACGTTCTCGCTCTTTGCACATGCCATAAATGCATGAAAATTCGCTGCATATTTGTAGCATCGCCGAGACTCGTGCAGAATGTAAGAGTCTCGAACGTTGGAAATGTGAAACGTGCAAACAGTGCGACGTTAATGCACATTGAAAAGTGCATATCCGCAGTGCATCGCAGACAATAATTGTTAATAAAAGTTAACACTAAATCTGTCGAGCTCGATCAGTGGCCAACGCGTTTTGCTTTGCCAGAGTGACGAGAGACTGTGTTTATTTAGACCTTCTGTCATTTTTATTATATAATGTATGCTTCCATCGAGATATCCATTGAATAATCTCGTATGGAAAAGTCTTTGTAATCTCAATAATGTCAATAACAATAATGTTAACACTAAATCTGTCGAGCTCAAACAGTGGCCAACGCGTTTTGCTTTGCCAGAGTGACGAGAGACTGTGTTTATTTAGACCTTCTGCCATTTTTATTATATAATGTATGCTTCTATGGAGATATCCATGAAATAATCTCGTGTGGAAAAATCTTTGTAGTCTCAATAATATTAATAACAATAATGTTAACACTAAATCTGTCGAGCTCAAACAGTGGCCAACGCGTTTTGCTTTGCAAGAATGCCAAGAGACTGTGTTTATTTAGACCTTCTGTCATTTTTATTATATAATGTATGCTTCCATCGAGATATCCATGGAATAATCTCGTGTGGAAAAGTCTTTGTAATCTCAATAATGTTAATAACAATAATGTTAACACTAAATTTATCGAGCTCGAACAGTGGCCAACGCGTTTTGCTTTGCAAGAGTGCCAAGAAACTGTATTTATTTAGACCTTCTGCCATTTTTATTATATAATGTATGCTTCCATCAAGATATCCATGGAACAATCTCGTATGGAAAAGTCTTTGTAATCTCAAGAATTCTAACCCTTTGCACTCGATTGGTGACTCAGAGGCACCACTAAAATTTGTCACATCACGTTTGAAGATAATTTTGATATTAACAAAGTTTAGATTTAAAAAATTGTTACGAGTGTAACTGTTGCGCGAGTCCCAAGAATCGATTTCATATGCATAAAATGCATTTTATCGTATAAAATAAAAAATACTATAAGGGAGAAAAATGATTTTATATTTACAGTTAAAATAGCTTCGAGTGCAAAGGGCTAAAAGACAAAGGCGTGGAATTGGTCGTTTCGTCAGGCTCGGTAGGTTTAGTGTTAAAATCGTGACACCATCAACGCGTTGCCATACGATACATTCGA